ATATATATATATATATATGGAGGACGGTAATGAAATAAGAGGCAGAAAAATGTTGCAAATTTGTGAAAAATAATATGAAAATATTTTTTACATGATTTTTTTCATCAAATTGTGGTTTTAGCTATATTCTTTCACATATGTTTGTGTTTATATGGCGGAAAATATCTATGTGAAATTTTTTTTTTCACATAGTGAAACAAAAAATACACGTAAAAATGTTTCACAAGGTGAAACAAATGCATGTAAAACTATCACATATAAACAGTTACATGTGAAACACTACCTTAAATTATATTATTTCATGAAAAATCATGCAAAGAAATATTTTTTAACCGGTTCTCACACATTTATCATCTTTTTACGGTTCTCCTTTGATTTAACCCTTATATATATATATATATATATATAGAGAGAGAGAGAGAGAGAGAGAGATGATTAAGTGTAAACCACTCATATTTGTACAAATCGTGTAAATCACCCTTATTCGTCGATTTTATTGTTTAATTTAATGATTTTGTTTAATGAAATTGTTTTATATAATACCTTTATTGATGAAGTTTTCTCATATATGATTATGAAATTTTAATGATTATATATATAGAAAATGATAAGATTCATTAATTATGATCATGACTTTTAGATTAAGAAACAAAATAAAATCATATATTTATTAAACTAGATGGACGGCTATGATTGATTTGTAAATTTTGTTAGAATTGTATAGTTTGTAAATAATAAAAGTTATATTTATAACTTATGTTTGTATTGATAGAAAGTTATATATATATTGAAAGAAATCAACATAACCATAAGGGTGGTGTTCGGTTGGTTTGAATTTGGCCTCCAAATGTCAAAAGTGTTTGGAGATATCAGGTTCGAATCCAATTAGAAATAAAAATACCCTTGTGGCCATAGAAATTCATCTGCAGTGACTCCGGATTACCCACGAAACGAATGGTCGTACTGGAATTAATCAGTTTGTATAACGAGTTGGATATCAAAATTAATAAATAAATAAAAAACAATTACACGTTAAAATGAGTTGAAAAGAAGGGAGACCGCAATTCCTTCCCTCCAAACGAAGCCATCCATTTCTTTGAAGTCTCATACAAGAATTGTACCTTTTCATTCACATGGTGTGTTTACCAAAATACCCTTCACATATTTATTGCACATGACACATACCCAAGGGTACAAATGTCATTCCATAATATGGTTGGTTTGGTAAATCTTGGATGGAAAACAAGGCCATTTTTGGGAATTCACTTGAAAATTTGTTATATAAAGGTGTAAAACATCTCTCCCTTTGCCAATTCCATTCCTCCCAAGAAAAATGGAAGATGATCAAATGGAATTACAACTCCTTCCTACACCACACCCAAGAGGCTCTCGGTCACGTGACCCAACGTGGTCATCTGGTTCAATCAGGTTTCAATCAGACAACACACGATATCAAATGGGTCCATCACTAGACCTACAATTATCGAACAGTTCTCGACCAGTTGGGTCTTCCCTGGATGACTGTATATTAGGTGACCTTTCCCACAAAGGCTCAACAAAAGCACTGAAATGGCAAGAAGCAGATCAAATCCGAATAACATCAACAGAGAAGGCGTATGTGGAGCGTGTAAGGGAGATGACCCAACGAGAGATGGATTTGGCACAATCAGAGTTGTCATGTGCCAGACACATGTGGGAGAGAGCACAAGAAGACGTCGCAAGGGCGGAGAATATGAAAGCAAAAGCGACACATTGGATTGATTCAACCTGTATGGAGATAACTTGTCAGGCTTGCAGGCAGACATTTCGACCTTGACCGGTTTTAAGAATCCTTGATCATTAGTAAAAGGTCAACTTGTAAGCAATTCGATATTCATCAGAGTCGTACTGGTGGTGTATAAGTTCAGAATCAGAATCAAAGTATTCATAATTTCTTTTGTTTTTAGTTTCTATACAAGTATTTTGCAGTCATGTTTTAATTAATACAATAGCCTTTGGAGATAAACACTTGTCTTATAATCTTTACTGGTATTTGTACATTAAACTGTATTTTTTTAAACTGATTTTAATATATGTACCACTGGATTTTTACAACCCATGTGAGTGTACATTTATGTACATATATTAATGTATCGGGTTTTTTTTTTGCCAAGTTTAAATAACATATCTATACTGTATTATAAAGCATTTGACAAAATTCTTAGAAATCATTTTTATGTATATTACTTAAAATTCAAGATTACAAGTAAATTATGCGTAAGTAACTTATTAAAGCTTCATGTTTGAAGTCGTGTAACTAATTGTAGATAAACATAATCAAATACATGATAAACATCTCATTTTAAATACAAAAGACCAAAAATATAATTAGGATAATAATTAAGTTCCAACAAAATACTTAATTATTATCTTTATAAAAAATTACATTATTAAATAAAAAATTTTAAAATGAATTAAAAAAATACAAAAAATGAGAAATTCTAAATATTAAGTTTTGGTACTAATATCAATATTTTTTTTCCATTTTTTTATGATATATATTTATATTTTATTCAAAAAATAAAAACATTATCGTTTTCTCAAAACCACATAAAACTGTATTATAACATTGACTGAGACAAAAAAAATGAAACATTAAAATCGAGATGTATCTCTCTGTATTGTACGAGTACCCTTCTAGTAAAAATATAATCCGTATATGTGACGATTGATTCAGATTTTATTAACTTAATTGAGAAAAAAATTCAGACATTGTATGTTAAAGATTATTTAGATTTTAAAAGTTTTATATAAACTTAAGTCAGATTGATATCGTATTAATTTACTTTGAATTTTACCGACAGTATTTGTAATTCAGTTACTGTTTAATTATTATGCTTGTTAAAACTGTAAAAAAATATAAATAAAAATATCATTGTACTTTCTAAAGTTATATACTTTGAACAAAAATATCTATTAATTGTCTTACCAGATTGAGTATGGGACACACCTATAAATTTACAGAGGAAGAGGTGTGACCACAACCGAGGTTCTTACCCGGTAAGTGAGAGAGAACACTTCAACTCGGTTAACACCCGGGCAAAAAGCGCATACGAACAAATCATTTTGATGGTTGATAATGTTACCAATAACCGATTATCCGGTAAACATTTGATAAAGATCCTCCGACGTAACATAGATAATCAAAATTGATACAAAATAACTGACGGAAAACAGTTCGACAAAAACTGTTATATTGTTTCAACCATTATTAATAATTTACCTGAGCAGATTTGACTAAAATTAACGAAATTAATGTAATTGTTATGATTATAACAGTATACGTTTGTAACTGATAAATCTTTTTTGTTCGAAATACGTAACTAAAAGTTGTACAAAGTTACAGTGACGTTTTACATTATTTTTCAAAATTAATAAAATTAAGAAACTTCTGCAGTTTTTAATGCTTACTCCGTGTGTACTGAACATTGCCGAGTCTTTAGAGCATCTGTAGGATGTTTTCTTCAAAATAAAGAAAATGAGTATTTTTGGTTGATTTCGAGGTTTTCAAAACTTTTTCATGATGAAACAAGTAATGGAGTGGTAAATTTCTCTAAATCTGGAAAACCCTTTAAAAGTGACTACTAATGAAGGAGATATCGTAATATCTTAGGCTAACTGTACCAGCTATCGTCTGTTTTACCTACACTTGAACCACAATTTTGTCTGTGCTGGCACACCAGTTTCCCAGTTCTGATACCATCTTTAAACATCTCAAGTCATCTGTACCATATATTGTCCGTTTTGTGTACATTTAGACCCCCTATTTTAGAATGTGTCTAATAGAGGGAGTATCCAGTCCCTTATAAGGTAACATTAGTTCCCCTCCCAAAATGATATGAATTCTTACAATAATAATTTATTATTATTATTATTCCAACTAATAAAATTCATTGAAATTAGATATCTAGAAGAATGAAATAATATTTTTATTAAATATATTTAATATTTTAATAACGTAATTAACATTGTACCCTCTAAAATATTAAAAAACCATAATTGAATGTATTTTTTTTAATATTTAATTTTTTATTTTAAAAAATCTGTTAAAAATGTTATTCTTGCGTTTTTTTTTTTTACAAAAACATATTCGTTTAAAAAAAATCAATATTGTCTGATGTCTACACTTTACACCTTGTTAGCTTTTAGCTCCATTCAACCAAACACCCACTACCCAAGTACCCATGTCCCTTTTAGTAATTTAATTCCAAACACTGAAAGATACCATCCTTTCTATCCATCCCTTTTTATTTCGGTCGGCAAAAAACACTGATTCAAACTCTTATCTTATCAACATCCTAGAAAAGTTCAATTTTCACATGGTTTATGTAAGAAAACGTGCAGATTGGTATCATGTTATACATATAATTCTTCAAGTAGTGTTGTCAGATCAAGAAGACCGAATATATCATGCATGGGCTATATCAGTCTTTTGTTCATTGGTTTGTGGGTATAGCTTGTTGATTCTATGCGGAATTTGACCTGATTCAATACAAGAAAACTGTTTTATCACGAGAATCAAACATGCGACTTTTAAAAGATACCTGCTGGGGCTGTGATTGGTCTTTCGTTTCTTGATTTCTGGGTATAGCTTGTTGACTTCTTGAGGATTCTTGCCTGGTTTAGTATAAAATAACTGTTTTATTACAAAAATCAGACATACGACTTTTAAATGATACCGACTGATATGATATCATTATAACATTTGTATGTTACCATTCATATATGGTTGAAGTATTTGGTATGATCCATCACATGTTCCCCTTTTCCCAACCCAGTATTTGGAACAAATGAAGTGGACAATTGGCATGGGTGCAATTTGAGAATGGCAAATGGACGAAGGATAGTGGATCTGTCTGTGTCATGTGATAATTCATATATTTACCCTTTTTTTATTTCAAAGTACAAACAGAGGGACAAATTTCCGTTCACTGTCAAAAAACTTTTGGTATCTCTTGCTTATGACTATTAAAAGAAAATACTATAAAAATAACTGGTTTTTTAATTAACTGATGTTTTTGGGTCATATGTAGAAAGAAACTAGATATAAACAACATTGACCACAAAGGTGGTGCCTGGTTGGTTTGAGTTTGGGCTCCAAAGGTCAAAAGTGTCTGGAGGTCCTATGTTTGAATCCAAGAAGGAATAAAAATCTCATTGTCGCCATAGAGGTTCAAATGCAGTGACTTCGTGCTACCCGCGAAGCGGGTGGTCATTCTGGGATTAGTCGGCTCGCATAGCAAGTTGGATATCCAGATTAATAAAAAAAAAAAAAAACAATATGAAACCCTAAAAATGAAGTGACAACAATAATATTCTCTATCTTTAATTCACGCTAAGAAATGTTAAAAACAATATTAGCATCAAGTGTAAGTTTCGATTGTGTATACAAAAAATTTCAGGTTCGTTCATTGCTTACTTCAGAACAGTGGAATTGAATTATTTTATTTAAGCAGACTTTGTTTTTTCTCTTCATTTCCATTACCAGTGATTTCATCCTTGTTGGGCACCGCTTGCTTTAAACGGGTTTCAAGTACTGTTTCTAACAAGACACGTGAGTATTTTAATATGTACTGTGATTTTATTTAAATCTTGAAAGACATTAGCTACAAAGATCATATACTGTTATTTAATCCATATAAAATACGCAAGTCACTTTTGTTGAAGATCATTTGGTGCTTTGTTCACCCTGTGGGTTTCAACATGCGTAAAACATGTTATGAGATCGGCTTTAATGGATCTTACTGGTTTGATGCATCGTATTAACAAGATTAAACGATATAATCATTGTTTCTAAATGGTTGGATCTCGTCATCAACCAAAAGGGAAACTTCTTTTACGTTTAAAGAAAAAAATATTTGATGAAATAAATGGTGGTGGGACTAACGAAAAGCATCACAACGTGTGGACGTTGTGGATCATCAACAAACCACACACTACAAAGTAATGGTACAACGCTGGATACTGATGAACTAGTTGCTCGATGATTGAAACCAGATCGAGGATCTGACATTAAAGGACCGGTTGTAAGTTCAATATTAGCTTTTGGACCAATTTCATTTAAGAATTTCAAGCCTATGAATAGATAACGGCGTGTCAAAAAAGGACCAGATATTGGGCTTGGTCCAGGTATGATGTAGGTTCGGCTATTTATTGATTTGTGAATACTTGAATGCTAGAACTTACTTAAGAGGAAACAAACAACGGACTTAAAAGAAACCCTAAACCGTGTATATGCCAATTGGCGCCAAACGATATCAATTCAGTCTGTCAGGCCCAAATTGGTTATCGTTTTAAAAACAAACACTGATTTCTCTTTTTCTATTAACAGAAGCAAGCCAATGAATATTGAATCTATAATCAGTTTTTGTGCATCTCTATCCGTATATATAACGAAATGATTGGCTTAGATCAAATATATCATAGAAAATGAGAAGGTTTACACTCTGCACAAAGACAAAGTGTTTAACCATTAACAAAACCAAAAACTCTATAAACAAAGAAAAAACTTACAAATTAATTTATACTTTTTAAATATAAGAATATTTTAATTTATAATATTATAAATATATTTCATAAACAGCTGTAATTTTTACTTATATCATAAAGTTTTTTATCTGATACTTTTAAGATATTTTAAAATTTACTGTTATAATTTATAAACTAGAAGAGTACTCGTGCAATGTAACAAGATATATCTCGATTTTAATGTTTCGTTTTTTTTTTGTCTCTGTCAATATTATAATATGAATTTATGTGGTTTTGACCAATCAATAATGTTTTTTTTAAATATAATTTTTAAAGATATCATAAAAATTTTAAAAATTAAAAATATATATAAAAGTTCTTGTTTTTTTGTGTAATTTATCTAATTCAATTTTTTTTATAATTTAATTTAGGTTTAGTGACGAAGTAATTTATTTTTGCTTTAATAATATAATTTTTATAAAGATAATAACTAAGTATTATGTTAGAACTCAATAATTATCCTGTTTATATTTTAGATATATTTAAAACGAGAACTGTATATTGTATTTGATCATATTTATCTACAGTTAGTTACACGAATTCAAATATGGAGTTTTATAAGTTGTACTTATGCAAATTTTACTTGTAATCTCGACTTTTTAATCAATATGCATCAATAAGTAGCACTTCATGTATAAAATATGGTTTTTACGAGTTTTTGTCAAATGCTTTATAATATAATGATAAACACAACTAATACATAAACATTATTCTAATAATATAATAAAATATTCCATAAAAAATTGATGTTTATTATAAATAAACATAAGTTTCAATAGATTTTGAAGCGTATCAGGAATCTTATCGTTTCGTGACCCGTGTAGTGTGCAGTACAACTCTTTGATGGCTAGTTTCGGGAGGTAGGCTTCTATGTCATGTCCGTGTTCAACTTTGGTCTCGAGTTGTTTTTTGTTTTAGTGGATTTTATTTGTGTTTTAGCTTCTCGTTGCGGTTCATTGTCTGCCTTTGTTATTAATTTGTCATGATTTCTGTCTGCATAACGTTTGATCGTTTCTCTTGATACATCCAAGTGTTTTATTATAATATTTTTGCCTAAATGCATTTCAAACAGATTCTCCAAAAACAGAGATTTTGGATTTTTGCTCCAGCAAAATTTTCAAAACCATCTCCAAAATGGAAAAAGTAGGAGAGAGACATTGAAGTTCTCTAAATACAGAGATCTCTAAAGAAAACGATTACATATAAAAGAGTTTTTCCCTTACCAACTAGAACATTCAAAATTAATGTATACGAGGTAGAAATAGTATTTTATAAAAGTTATTGAACATTTAATAATATAATTCATGTTGTAATATTCAAAATGGAGAAGCCATTGGAAATGAAAATAAAATTTCAGATGTTTTGACTTTTGATTATTTATTTTAAAGATTGCGCTGTAGATGCTCTGACCTTTAAAAAACATAAGAGGGCGTTTCGTTCACATAATGGAATTTGGTGGAACTGAAATAACATCAAAATAGTTTGACTTTGAAGGAATTATGATGGAATTTGACCATACATTTAGTTGATAGGAATCGGAATGCAATATCTCAAAAAGATTGGAATCTCCATATTTGTTTGGGAGGGGGGGGGGGAGTGAGTTGGTAGCTGTGACGACGATGATAGTGGCATTGTGGTGTGGGTAGGTGAGTGGTAGCCCCATCCCCGACACCCTCGACACCAAAGGGGTGGCTCCCTGCACACCCCACATTGCCTCGCCCTATCCCTACCTCTGGCTACACGTCCCACCCACCACCCACGTAGGTGGGTGGTGGCGAAGGGTGGAGCCCTATGCCCACCCCACCTTGCCTCCTGCCCGCACCCTTGCCTGCCCTGCCAAGCTCCCACATGTCATGTCTCGCCTATCCCCACCCCATTCCCCACGCATACGGGGTTGGTGGTGGTTGGGGTGAGATAAGTGGGGGTGATTGTTGTGACGATAGTTGTGGCACGGTGGTCGGTGGGATGGGTGGGGGTGGTGGTTGTGACGACATAAGTGGCATGGTGGTAACAATAGCGACATAGGTGGCATGACGGTCGATAGGGTGGTGGCATGGTGGTCGATGGGGTGGTGGCAAGGTGGTATGTGGTTACAATGGTAGTGGGGGCGGGGTGGTTGTGGATTGGTGGGTGGGGGCGGGTGACAGTGGGTGACAACTATGACGACAATAATAACATGATGGTCAATGGTGGGTTGGGGTGGGTGAAAGATGTGATTGTAATAGTAGTGGTGGTGGCCTGGTAGGGACAATAGTAACATGATCATGGTTGGGATAGAGGGTGAACAATGTTGATTAAATTGGATGTAAATTTCATTAACTTATGCAAAAAATGATGAAAATTTTAATTTGTGGAATTCTAAAAATCATTACTATGATGATTCATTATATGAATCAAACATAAGATTTGCAATTTGATAAAAAAAAAAAAATTCATTTGTTCCTTCAAAATTCATCAACCAAAACCCCCCTAAAAGGTTTCAAATTTTCTGATAAACAATCATCTTCAATTATTTAGGGGTGTTTGAGATTGTTTATTTGAAACAAATTATGTTTTTTTACAAAAATACTTATCAACTTATTATAAGTCAGAATGTTTTAAATTATTTAAAAACTCTTTATTACCAGTTTGACACCGTTATAAGTTATTTATTTAAACATTCAAAAATACTTATTACAAATGTCATACCAAAATATGTCAACAAATTATTTTTATAAACAATACCAGACACCATGTCGTCATTATGGATTTGTAACATAATCTTCCGAATCGGGCTTTAATTTTAGAAAAAAACCCGACCCGCCGTTGTTGCGCAATATCCTTTGTTCAGTTCTACCTTTCTCCGATAACAGACGCCCCTGAATCAAAATCATAACCTGCAAGTACTCATACCCATCGTCAATGATCCTAGATTGGTGAAGAAATTCACGATTTGTTAGACTTAGGGTTTTAATCTGGTGATCCAAATTATTTGGTAGGGTTCGGATTCGAATTTCGAAGATTCGATTCTTGTCTGAACCATGGCGATGGAAGCACCATCGGAGACGAATAACGCTAACCCTAGCACTGTTTCAACGAAGAAGAACTCGAAGACAAAGGGGAAGAACAACGATTTTGAGTTCTGTAAAGTATGCAAGCTCAATCACAATCAAGGTCGCCGCCATAACTACTTTCCTAACCATGTCAAATCTCTATCATCTTTCTTATCTAGATTTCAGACCAAAATTTCCGACGTACGGTTCTTCCTTAAGAACCCTAGCTTACTTCGTCCCGAGCTTGCTTCTCGCAATAGATTTTGGTGTGTTTTTTGTGACTCAGATGTTACGGAGCAGGGCAGCTCATTTGCCTGGTGAGCAAATCATCACTATATATACACACACACACACACACACACACACACACAACATGAATGCATATACGAAAGCACGCGTAATTCTTTCCCTTGAGAAAATGTAGGTAGAAACTGAATATCAAAGCTTCTGGTTATAGGTTCTATTCGTTTATAATTTCTTAGGTTTTCATATTAAGTTGAAATTAATTTGAATAAAACCATCACAGTGATTATTTCTAACTAGTGGAAGTATGCACCGATCTTTCAGTCTAAGTCCAATCCTCCAAAGTTTTTCTTCGTGAAGAACTCTTCCTCGAAGTTGTTTGATTAGCAAGAAGACATAACTAATGTTCTATAGTCGTGTTCACGAAATAACTAATGTCTTATCGACGGAGACAGAGTTGAGCATTTAAATGAAGACAACTATAGAACAACATCTTCTCGCCATTCAAACAACTTCGAGGAAGAGTTTTTCGTAAAGATTTTTTGAAGTTCATGCGTTTCTTATTGTTAGACTCGGATGAAGCAAGTTTGGATCTACCTTGTCTTTGGATGGTTGGGACTTCAATTGAAAGATGGGTCCAATGTTTTGAGCGATTAGAAATAATTGTTGTTATGGTCTTGTTCAAATTAGTTTCAACTTAATATTTCTATACGGGAAACGTTGGCTCTTTGCTTGTTAGAGAAGATGTTTTAAAGAAGAATTAGCAAACTCATGTAATCTTGCTAAGAACTATACGGAACTACAACCATCCTAGCCGATTTCAGCAATTTCCTTTCAATCTGTTTTGTCAGCGAGAATGGGATCGCCCATCTTGCAAGTGCGGATCACTTGAAGAACTTAAAAAGTTTTATGTGGAAACATGGTGGTGCAATGGATCGAGTTGACCATTTCCAGGTTTCTGAGGCAGATCTTGCTAAGGTAGCTTGTTCTTTGTAAGACTCTCGAGCTAATTTTCTTGTTGATTTTATGCTTTCGCTCTTACCGGGTAAGATTCTTGGTCATTGCCATATTCATCCGGTAAAGTAATGTAACTTGGTAAGCGCTTACCTGGGTAAACATTTGGTAAACAGCCCCTTAGTAACTGATATTGACGTAGCGTACGTAAAACATGACATGTTCTTCAAGTATGTTTCTTAAAATAAATCTTTTTCGAATTATACATGTTTAAATAGACATTTTTAAACATTAAACTCATCAAAAATGTCTTTTAAAAGTATATTTTTCCAATCATAGTTTGGAAGAAAAGTATCTTCTTATTGATACATAACTTTTATTTTATTTTATTTTATTTTATATTATGATAATTATCTGATGCACCACTAACAAAAAATATTGGATTCGCCTCTGCTTACAATTTCCATCCTGTTATTGCAGTATGAAAAGAAGTGCATATCGATGAAGAATGAAGGTGCTAGCGAACAATCTCGCAGGGCTCTAATTGGACCTTCAAATGATATCCACAATGAACTGAAATTTGATTATGTAAATAACTTTGACAGAAATCCTATCAGTTTTCATAATTCAAGTTTTCCAAACGGTGTTTTACCTTTACAAAATCATACGAATGAGAAATATCAGGTATCCCAATCAGATCTCTCTGGAGGTGCAGCATCAAGCACTTCATCATATGATAATAAATCGTTGTTGGCTTCAAATGCAAAGCGTCCAAATAACTTAAGAGGTATCTGTTCACAAGACATAATTTGTTACTTTTTTCCCTTTGGTTGTGCTTTTACAATATATATGGTGACATTCTTTAGGGATCGGTGAGAGGGTAAAAGGGAAGGTTCATATGTCAATCATTGAAAAAATCCGAAAAAATCTATTTGAAGATGCATATGTGAACCTATGTTATTGATTATTCATATGGGTTCACATATGCATTATTAAATGGATTTTTTAAATGATTCACATATGAACTTTCCCTTCTTAACTTCCCACGATATTTAGTCCCTATTTGAATCTCCCAATATATGGTACATTTTATAGTGGCTGGTTCAAATAAAAAGGCTAAATATTGTAAGAAGGTAAGAAGGGAAGATTCATATGTGAATCATCGAAAAAATCAAAAAATCCATTTGAAGATGCATATGTGAACTCATGTGAATAATCTGTAACGTCGGTTCACATATGCATCTTCAAATAAAATTTTCCGATGATTCACATATGAACCTTCCCTTCTTATCTTCTCACATATTTAGTTTTCTTATTTGAACCTCCCACTATATTGTTACATTTTATAGGGACCGATTCAAATAAGAAAGCTAAGTATTGTGAGAAGGTAAGAAGGGAAGGTTCATATGTGAATCATTTAAAAAATCCGAAAAAATCTATTTGAAGATGCATATATGAACCGACGTTAGTCACGGTTACATATTATTCATATGGGTTCACATATGCATCTTCAAATGGAATTTTTCGATGATTCACATTTGAACTTTCCCTTCTTACCTTCACGGTGTTTAGTCTTCTTATTTGAACCTCTCACTATATGGTGACATTAAAAGTTTTCTTGTGCTCGTTTACTACTCTGGAAATGCAGGCAAGACTTGCTTAACTGAAGGCCAGCTTCGCAATGGACCGGTATGTTTCAAATCAGCATAATCTCTGTCATTTTAGGGCTCATGTTTCTAATCTCAGGTGACATATTTAGGATTCAGTTATACATGGAAATTAATTATCTCACCCGAAGCTTTCCACCATGAAATAGTTCTTCTTTTCTGTCATATTTTCCCCTAGTTGCTTTGGTAATCTTTACAATGAAAAGTGACCTTTAAAATAGACACAAGAAAGATATTTGCAAGACCAATACAAAAGTGACCTCAATGGTAGGTGCAACTATGTCGAGTTTTAATGTTCTCACATCATTTAGCTTTTCAGAAAAGATTAATGTGTGGAAAAATGATAATTTTAACAAATAATTATCTAGGTTATTGAGCACTTTTGCAGTTACTTTCAGACCTTGCACTTGAAATAAATATGTTTGGGTAGTAGGAAGCCACCAGGAGCTAGGGGTGTTTGCAGTCCAGTTTGGGCAGTTTATAACCCCCCAAACCGCAAACCAAACCTCAATGGCGGGTTAGGAAAATTTTCAAACCCAATCGATGCAGCAACCAAACTGGTGAAACCGGAGCACAAAAGGTAGTCTGGCTCTGGTCTGACCGGTTTAGGCGGTTTGGGACTAGTTTGGGTTTTAAACTCTAGAAAAACACAACATCTATCTCCAAAATGAAATTTCTACTAATATAACATTATCAAAAAAATATTATATTGAATCATAAAAGAAACATCTATCTCCAAAATAAATAAAAAAACATTGAGCAAGTTGAAAAAAATCAAACAAGTCCATATTAAGCAAGTTGAAGGACGATTTGGAATTTGACAGATTTTGGAATTCAATTTAGGGAACGTGGACAATTGAGAAGTGGAAACTAACAACTTAATTCTTCGATGTAGATTTTTTTAGTTGCGCCATAAAAGTCAAGGTTATAACATGAAAACTTAAGTATAATTAATACATGTGTATTTTGGCAGTCGGTTCAGTCCAAACCACTAAATACCATTCGAATCGCAGACTAGACTGAACCGAGCAGTTTGGTTGTTTTTTGACTGAACTGGACTACCAGACTGCTCAAACTGCCAAAAAGTGGTCCGATTTGACTTGGTTCGACCGGTTTCAGCGGTCCGGTGGTTTTTTTTAACACCTCTACCAGGAGCATTCACGATGACATTTTTTACCAGTGGTTGTGTCAGCTGCCTGTTCTTCAAGACATCATTCACACTTAAAAATCCCGATTCATCTCAGACCTAAAACTGCGAAATTCATAAGCCTTGGGCTTGGTTACCTAATCCTTATTTTAATAGTAAGCTGATATTGCCATTTATCGGCGATGTGGTCCACATCCTTTCTTTTTATATCGTTAAATAGGATTAATCATGTAGCATTGTCTAGTATCACATAATATTAGAAGATGTTACTGCTTTAATGCTAAGGTTGTGCTTGGTTTGCAGGATTGGAATGGATTTGGAATTGAGTTCCATTCCAATCCCAAGTCTCAGTTGAAGGATTTCCCGGATTTGAAATCCCACAAACATAGGATTTTGAAATCTCATGGGGATGGTTGGTATTTCACGGGATTTCGTTAACAGTGTTCTAAAATATGTTAAAAACATTTGTTTTGTAATAATTAATTAATAAAAAAGGAATTTAATTATTTTTATAATTATTTATGACTTGCTTTTATAAAGAATGGAATTCAATTCCATTCCAAAATCCTGCAAACCAAACACACCAAAGATTCTAAGTCCTTCCACGAAATCCAAATCCCTCAAATCCATTCCATGAAACCAAACTCCCCATAAGGTGATATGCATTGATGTCGGTGTTCTAAAAGCGCACCATGGTGTAAGACGCGTCTCCGCCTGTAAGATAAGACCTATAGTGTTTGCAAGGTGTGGCTCACGCCATGGCATGACGGGTGTGCTTTTTTTACAAGGCGTGACTATTTTTCAAGTACTTTTTAAATTTAAGCCTTTCCATTTTTTAGCTTTTGTGTTTTTACACTTTTACAGATTTACCTAATCACATCACACAGTTTCATGGATTCATACATATTGTATATTTAATGGACTCACAGTTAAAACAAAGTTGTAAAACCCTTCCAAATTTTATTTTGAATATTTGATCACGTACTTCTTATATAATATACAACATGTATGAATTTTTTTCTAATACGAATGTAATTTTTTAATATCATTATATCATTGAATAATAAATAGAAGTATACATGATATATGTATACTGTCCAAATGAACGGCTACCAGATTGTTCCTCAGTTTTTCATTTTTTTGCGATTTTCCCGTGAACCTGACCCTATATATATAACTTAAAAATTTGCCGCCTTTTGTCATGCCTTGAAAAAATCCACGTCTTCGGCTCCTCGCCGTGACGTGTGAGGCTTGAGACTTGACCTCGTCAGTCGTCACCACACCACACCTCACACCATTTAGAACCTTGATTGCTGCAAGGCCTGTAGCTGTGAAATCTTTTTGTGTTTCTCGTCCTTCATAGAAATCCCGTACTTCTGGTATAGTCAGATTTGACTCTCATTGCATCGCTCAACTCGACGACTATGGCCTTTACCGCCTTGAAATACTTAGTTACTGATGCTTCACACTCATCATAACGTTTGATCAATCTAGTGTATTTTCTGCTCGTTCTTTATGTGTGTTTATTGCCACTTTTTTTGGGCATATACTAATATAGTAGGGGAAGACATGCCAGGTATATGCAGATAAAAGGGAAGCTAATGGGGAGGTTAGTTCAGCAGGTATTCCTAACAATTTCACTTTATTTTTCACTCTTAATGTTGTTCGTCTTCCTTTCCTATTTTTTGGTTATTGGCTTAGGGGCCATTTACCAAATGCTTACCCAATAAGCGCTTACCAAGTCACATTACCTTACCGGATGAACATGACAAGGACCTAGAATCTTACCCGGTAAGAGCGATGACAAGGACCAACACCCTTACCCAATAAGTGCAGGTGATAGGTGATGATTCTTACCCGGTAAATTGTTACATACGATACCGTTATGATGGACTAAAATCTTACCTAGTAAGGTAAGTGATAGTGCTAAATCTTACAAGTAAGCGCTTACCAGGTAAGTGTTTGGGTCAACCCTTCAAGTCGCATTCTCAGACTTTCCAATTTTTATTAGGGAAATTGACCAAACTAGCCATTTTGGATAAAATTCTTCACTTTTTTGCCATACTTTCCAATTTGACCAAAATAGCCAAGATTTCGCAAGTGCCCATTCACAACTTGCTAAATGTACTTTCTCAAAATTAATTATCATTCTGGTGGGGTCGGCTTCTGAACTCTCCTTGGTGGCTTACGAAATGGTCCACCAGAATCATTTTTTATTCAGTAAAAACTGCGAAACGGGCAATATTGAAATCTTGGCTATTTTGGTTCAAACAAGAAAAAGTTTGCTAAAAAGTTGGCTAGAAAGTGAAGATGTTCGTACAATATGGCTAGTTTGGTCAATTTCCCTTATTAATATTATTATTATTGTTGTTGTTGTTGTTGTTGTTGTTACAGTCTTAAATATTTCAACCACCAGTTTGTCGGTATTCTGGAACATATGCCACCTGGAATCATATTAAATATGGCGATTGTTTTCTTACTCGTTCTTTTCTCGGGCTCTTCTCTCAGGTTTGCTGAAGCTCACTCAAATTTCTTCCACAGTCCATGGCATGGATGCAGGAAACGTGCATTCTGGGGCACCACCTCCATGGTTTGATACAACCAATAGAATTCATCTTGATCCTGCACCGAAACCCGGGAAGGAAATGGATCCAGTCACTAAAACTGTAAAGTCAAAATTAAATCCTAAAAGGGTCGGAGCTGCTTGGGCAGAGAAAAGAAAGATAGAAATGGAGATGGAGAGAAGAGGGGTGTTGCCTGCTAATAGATTTGATGCTAACTGGCTTCCAAACTTCGGTAGAGTGTGGCAATCGGGAAGCAGGAAAGAGTCCCGGAAAGAATTTGAGGTCGAGGCCACGAAACCTCCGAAGGATGAAATTGAATCAGATTCATCGTTGCAGTTACAGCCTTATATAAGCAAGAGAATGGTAAGCTTTTAAATTGATTATTTCTTTTTTGAGTTTCCGGATTAGGTTGTGATCGTTTTATTGTTTTCTCTGTCCTGGAAATAAAAGGCCAACATGCAAATTTGACCATTCAAGAAACCACAATCCGCGATTAGATGATGAGGTTAATTGATTTCGTAGTAAAAAAATGAGTAATTTTTATTATAGTGAAAAGAGACAAATACATTGAAAGGACCAAGTGGGACAAAAATGCATTTTTCTTTAGGGAAATCGACTATACACCTTTTAGCCACTTTCTTTATAGGAATTCCCATTTTAGCCAGAGTTTACACAAATGCCTTAGGCATTTGCATAAAGTCTATTTTTCAGATAAAAAAAATATTTAACCAAATTTGCGTGAGGATCCCCATTTACGTAAAGTTTTTTTTTTCTTTTTTTTGTTAATCTGGAACGCATTTACGTAAACTCCGGCTAAAATAGGCCTTTGGTTCCAAAAATGGCAAAAAAGTGAATTTGGTCGGAAAGGTTGGCTATTTTGGTCAATTTACCTTTTTTCTTTTCTGTCCCACCAAAATAGGTGGAACGAATATAGTGAGATGGGACAAATTTTTGGTAAATTACTAAACTACCCGTCAATTAAAACCCCAAAACCTTTCATAGTTCTTTTACCCGTCTAGTACTATCTAGTCTTGTTCACGTACCAAATGCACCCTTGAGTTCTTATCAGTTGCATAATTTAATTGCAGCCTGCATCAACATACCAGACATGTTAGATACACCTCTTTGCTGCTAAAACTCGATATTTCAATCTCACTGATTTATCCACCGTTAGTTGCAGAACCAAATATCTAGTTTTTGTGGAGAATAACATAGCTCAAGGCCGGGGTACTCATTGGCTCATTGCCCGACTGGAGCATATTTCCAAATTTGGATCAATCCGTCTTTTTGGCTCCACGTACATCCCTAGGGTTGTGCATAAAGTCATTCAATCCAATTAGAACCAACCAACAATAACTAGATATCCAATTTTGATAGGATCCAAAATTTCAACATCCAAATTGGATTGGTCAGTTATAGGATGGCAGTCCAAAATTCAATAAAACCGAACTAATCCAATCCAAATACCATCCAATTAATAAATTTATATAATCAATGATATTTTACTTTTAGTTGATATAATTGAATAATTAGTTGAAATGATGGGTTAATTTGTTGAAAGTTGGATCAAAATATTTGGAGGGATCCAATAGATAACCAATAGTAATACCTAATAGATGGAACTGATGCGCTTCGATCATCCATTGGATCGGATCTGTTGTCCAATGTTAATTTGATTGGACCGGATATCCAATGGATGACTAAGTTGGATTGGATCGAGACCTAAATCCATTGGATTTCAACCGATGAACAGGGATGCATCCCACATCCCCTGGACCCACCTCTGGATGAGATATACATGGCTCGTTTGGTTTATGTCTATTTGGCTTAAACCATATACTCTCTACACTCTGGCCAAGCACCAGGGATTATAAACAATCAATCTTGATAGGAAGTCGATGATGCTTATCTTGTTCTGAATAGAGTTCTTTTCAATGTTTATACGTTTTTCTTGGGATATGATTTGCAGCGCCGAGAAGCCAATGGATGACGTTTCTGCTTAAAACCACGGATGCATACGGATTTTGAAGGTAAAACCCAAAAGTTTGATGCAAATCAGTTTTTGTGGCAATTGTTAGTTTGAAACCAAACCACCAACTGAGAGGGTATGTACATACTGCAAGTAAGTATAAACCATTATTTCTTCCTTTTTCTGCTTTGTTTTAAGATTTTCGCTTTGAAAATAGTGTGGAATCGTGCTTACGATTGCCAGGGATATTAATCGTATAATTTAGCAGCCTGAGTGTCGTCTCGCTTGGATAAGCATATCGTACACTCGAGGAAGTAGGTTTTGTTGCTTTTTTATCAGTTGTAGAACATTAAGATGGTTAGAATTAGAACAGCCTTCCTTTATTTGAACTTCTATGGTCCTCTAATACATTTATTTCAACTAGTCTATGGGTCAGTGCAAAAACACCCATATATCATCTACCCCCCTGGACCAACATTTTTGCCTTTTAAGGTGGAACAGAGACTTGCAAGTTGTCCGATGCGTTTTTAGCATAATTCCATTTTTTTCGAGGGATTTTTTAAGCTTTTTGGATGATTTCGCAAGATTTTTCAAGGTCTTTGGTTGATCTCGAGAGATTTTTTGGTTTTTTCTGTTATTTAGATACTTTCGGTTTTTTGGTTGATTTCGTTGGTTTTGGCTTTTTGGTTCATGTCTCATTTTAGGGTTCCTAAAAGTGTGTCGATTTTAATTTGATGTCTGCTCTTCTAAGTTAACAAAAGTTGACTGCATCTATGTTAACTACCGAGGCCCCTTTGGTTTGATTTGCGTGGTTCCGATAACATGTAGAACCGGTACGTATTTGTGAGTTTGACACGATATTCCAATATATTCAATTTGGTTGGAACAAAGTCGGATTATATGTAACGTCATATTTTTTGGGTTACCACGTATACATGGATGCCATTAGGGGTCTTAACAAGCCGAGTCGAGTAGCAGGTTGTTCGAGCTCGACTCGGGAAAACAATCTCGTACTCGAGCTTGACTCCAGTTTTAATAATTCTTTTTCAAGTTGGTGATCGAGTTTGAGGTTGAACATTCTTTTAATATTCGAGGTATTAAGTAATAAAAAGAAAAAAAAACTATTTGCTTTTATATAATATTAGAATGATATTTGCACAATGTAATAAGATACTGTAGAATGAAAATTCATTTCCATATTCATTCCCCAGTATGAACCAAACAATCCCTTGTCTTAAACTAAATTGGTCAAATCCGCCATGCGCTATTTAAGCACGTCACCTTCTTCGGATATTTGCTAGGACCGGTTCATGCTAGGAGCAGTAGGGATTGATAATAGGATCGGTTTGGACTAGGACATGTCTATGCGTACCGCATAGCGTACAGGTCCGGGCACAAACGAATAGATGCAATTTCCTATCTCAAAATATATGAGCAATCATGTGTAAAGACCCATCATAAAACTCTAAGAACAACGATCGCTCGATGACATAGAGCTTCTAAAGATCGTTCGTTCCACATGAAGCCCGTTTCAGTACCAAGCATCAATGGCTCGAATGGCGCACTATTGTAGACCATAAGTTTAGGGTTGCAAATGAACCATACGAACACGGACACAAACAGAGACAATCGAACAAATAAACGAACACGAACGCTAAACGAATGCAATTTTTTATATTCATGTTCGTTCATTAATAAAATGTGTTTGTTCGTGTTCATTTGTATTTGTTTGTTAAGATACCAAACGAACTATCACAAATGAACCAAAAACAACCATCATTACTCATCATTTCGTTATTAAAAAATAACATAACAAAATGAAAAATCGGATATACTTAGAAGAGATAAAAAAGAATTCTATAAATTTAATTTAATTAATAATTTTACATATTAATTTATAATAAATAAATATATTTATATATATATATAAACAAGCATAAACGTACATATATGAACGAAAATTAACGAACGAGACAATTGTTTATGTTCATTCATTTAATTAAACAAACAAAAAAAATGTGTTCACGTTCGTTAATTTATTAAATAAACGAACATAAATGAACTTCTTACACCGAACGGTTCATGAACGGTTCGCTAAATGTTCGGTTCATTTACAGCCCTAACCACAATATACAAACACTATAGTAAACCAAACCAAACGATCCCAGTTGAAGGTGGGGGTCTTGAGAGGGTGTGATGTACACAAACTCGTTTCTACCTCAAAGAGCAGAGCGGTTTTTTCAGTAAAGACCCCAAACTCTCCAAACACTATATTGTACAAAAGAATATAGAACTCGAGGATCCCGAAAGAAGAATCATCTTATAGCGTACATAAACGATGCCGAGAGCTTTTGTATAATGTACCTCTCTTTGAACGTTAAGCGCGAGAATTTCCATAGAGTTGAGCGTAGACTCGTTTTGTCCTGTGGACGACGATCATACTCAAGAAAACCGCGATTATACAAAGTGCAGATAAGATCCCGCAAGTGATGGAGTAGCAAATGGTGCCGTAGCACGTGAGTTCTTCGTTGTCGTGAAAGACATGATGTTTTACCGAACTCTGTTTCTTTGCTTCATAGTCGTAAATTCCGCTAGCGATGACACCGGAGAAGATTAAGGAACCTGTTGGGCTCGCGAGTGCAAGAAAGTTATACAACGCGCCAAAACTCTTCAAACCGAATAGTTCCGAGGCGGCGGAGGGAACGATGGCCCAGTGGGCCCCGTAACAAAGTCCCATGACTACCGAAACCACATAAATAGCACCGGGGGCGCCCACCGCGTAGTATAACAGCGAACCTGCCATTACGACTTGAACTCCAGCCATTGCCACTGGTCTCGGGTACGCATACTTTCTGGAATGCAAAAAGATTCATCAAGACATATACATATTGGCATATGTATACGTATACATATACATATACAGGGTTAAGAGGAAAACCGCAAAAAATGAAAGATTGAGGAACACCCTGGTAACCGTTCATCCGGATGGGATGCCCACAAGCAATTTGTGAGCAATTTATCCATTATGCACATGTGCATAATATGCACAAAAACCAAGAAACGACTTCAATTATTTGTATGAATGGTTACCAAAGTGTTCCTCAGTTTCTTAATTTTTAGGGGTTTTCCCTGAACCTCCATCTATGTATACATATACATACATAGACATCGTTAGTATCATTTTTACGATGGCGCACCTTACGATTATCTCGGAGAAGTATCCGCCACCGACACGACCAAGAAAGTTCCAAATGCTGATCATGGAAACGAAAACATGAGGGTTTTCATAGCCGAGCGATTGGCACATTTGACCGAGGTTATCGATTATGGTCAAACCCGATCCAGAAGCCAGCACGAGGGAGAAAAACATGAGCAAAAAATCGGCCTTCACCAACGCCTGCATTAACGTAAAATCCTCCCCTCTTCGTGGACCCTTCTTACGATTAACCCTCACGGCTCCGTCGGCCGCCGCTTGCACCAGTTTCGCTTGCAAATGGGAGATCCGTTTTTGCCTTTCGTGAGCCGGAAGTGAGTCCACTTCTGAAGGCTTCTCGTCTTCAACCTCGCTCATTATCACTTCATTTCCGTCTTGCTCATAAACGATCATTTTTTGCTTTTGATCATTGTTCAGAAGGGTTTCCGCAGCTGAGTTCTGCGATTCGGAAGACGAGAAAAACACCAAAAAAAGGGGGATTCCGATGGGAAGCAATATGAGAATTAACAGCCCGACCGTGAGCCAAGTGACGGTTGTCTGGTTCAGATCGACGACATCTTGTAGGATCAAAACTCCCAAAAGATAAGCTGCAAGAATGAGGCAAACACCATAAAGAAATAAAAAGCTCGAGCCATCGGATTGTCTAACTTGTCTATGGCCGCCAACGGGTCGAACCACAAACATTACCGAAGAGATTACGATCGTGGGTCCCACTGCAACGATGAAAATAACCGACGCCTGATCGGGGAAATTGAAGATGGTGTAAACTTGTGTCAAGATTGCACCGCTCAAGCCCGCGAAACCCTTTAGAATCCCGACAACTGGGCCACGGCTTTTAGGGAAGTTTTGAACTCCGGATACAAGAGCCCCCGTATTGAAGTAGGTTTCGCCATTCGTTCCAACGAATATGCAAACACATAGCTGCAAATGGAAAGCAATGAAAATTTTAACGAAAGTTACCAGAGATTTCCGCATTCAAAAGCGTTTGGATGAAAAGCCGGAGAAAACGGTTCAAATAGTCATGAGCATACCTTCTTCGAATTCTAAGAAATCGACATACAGAAGACAACGAACACTCGAATTGCAGGAAATGAAGAACAAAACACTACATTTGGTTAAAAGCAATACAACAAAATGGCTTCATAGGACACCAAATATGTCTAAATGTTCTAATAAACTGCTTTATGGATGCGTTTGGTGCACTAGACAGGACATAACAGGGCAAAACAGAGATAATTGTTCCGCGTCTGACAGAACTTTACGTGGAACAGAGTGGAATAAGCGTGTTCCACCCCCATCATATTGAACAAGGTGGATCAGACCTATATTTTACCAATATAACTTAAAAATAAAACTTAATTCTTTTATAAAACCTCAAATACGCCTCCCTCCTTACAATTTATTCATTCTTTAAATTTTATTTATCGTATTTTATGCTCTTTAAACTTTCACTTTACCGTCCTCAAAGTATCTTCTAGATACTGTTTCTATATTTTAATTAATATATGTAATTTATTAAATATTAATGATAAAAAATAATATAGAAAAGGTATAAAATAAAAATTGGAAACTACATAAACCTTTTATTTTGGTGTCATTTTAATCGTCTTGACGAAAACTTTCTAGTGATATATTTTGTTATATAAAAATATTTATTATTATAATTCAATAAATTGCATAAAATAATCAAAATATATAAACAACTCATTTGGGTTAAATTGGTCATTTTATCTGTTCTGTCATGTCTCTGTCCAAATGCTAAGTAGTTATTATGTCCTGTCTTTGTCTCGATATCAAACGCACCCCATAGGACGTACTTTTATAAGACCAAACAATCGTGCGTCCTATGTAAATGTGTTACAATAGCGTTCAAAAACGTCCTAACAAGTTATTTATGACAATTTTGAAAATAAACGTCTTATCAGTCTGTTTTTTATACTTCCTTTGAGAAAGTTGTCTTATAAAAGCTACGTGTTCATCAGGGGCACTTTATTTCAAAAGTGCCTTAAAAAATTTGTTAGGCTCAAATACGTCTTAACATCCCGTTCAAACACCTTTTTATAAGAAGCACAAGCGTTTCCTCTTATAAACTGAAGCCCAATAAAGCAGTCCATTAGGATATTTAGACATCATTCACGATACAATCTTCTACTTTGCTATAAACTGAAGTCCAATAAAGCAGTCTATTAGGTCCAAACACTGATTACCCGACTCCTATCTTCTTTTCCGCGATACATATAACATTCACAATACAATCTTGAATGATCTTGACACTACATTTCTAAGAAATCCACATACAAAAATGCAAAAGAATACTTGAGTTGGCCAAAAAGCACAAGAAAAACACTTTAGTTGGCAACTAGAGTTTGTGTTCATTACTTTTATTTTTATTAACCTGGATATCCAACCCGCTATGCGAGCCGACTAATCCCAGTGCGACCACCTGCTTTGCAGGTAGCCCGGAGTCACCGTATTTAAACCTCCGTGGCTACAAGGGGATTTTTATTCCTCCTTAGATTTGAACTCGGGATTTAAAAGTAATGTGTTCATACTTTTAGAAAGCAAGAGTGTTAACCGGACTTTGTTTACTACTTTCGGCAAGCTCGAGTATTGTTTTTCCCATCCCACATCGATAGAAAAGTAGATTTGTTAGAGCATCTCAAACTGACTCTTTAAAATAGAGAAAACAGGGGTTTTGTTCCATATTTTGCTCCAACAGATTTTCTATATTGTTCTCTAAAATAGACAAAACTAAAGAAATCTCTAAATTTAATCACAAGGGTGGTGTCTGATTGGTTTGAGCTTGGCTCCAAAGGTCAAAAGTACCAGAAAGTTCCAGGTTCAAATCCAAGGAGGAATAAAAATCACCATGTGGCCACAGAGGTTCAAATGCGATGACTCTGGGCTATGTGCAAAGCAGGTGGTCGTCTTGGGATTAGTCGGTTCGCATAGCGAATTAGATTTCCAGGTTAATAAAAAAAAAAATCTAAACAGTAATAAATATATTATTAAAATACTCTATTTATTAAGCTCCTACCAAACAGTAATAAATAAGCCACTTTCTATCTATTAAGCTCCTATCAATCAGTCGTATACAGCTGACTGAATAAGTTGTGACGCTCACTAAGGTCGTTAAGATGCTAACAACAATTTCAATCACTTCAAACAAGATAAATCAGCAGCAATATAAGACGATCTTCATACTGTAAGCAAAATTAGGGATATAGAAACTAACCACCCACAGAGGCATTTCAGGCAATGTGTGTTTGGTACTTAGCCAAACCAAACCATACCCTAAGAAATTCTGAGCAACTCCGATGAACAGAACCACCCAAATCGGAGCAATTTCACACAAACTACCAGCTACGAACCCAATCGCATCACCCAGATCCTTAGCCACACCCAACATCGCAATCTGCCGCTGATTATAACCCATATTTCTCTTAATCACCGGCGATATGCTTCCGAACATGTACCCGATTCCGGAGCACGATTGAACCCACATTGAAGCCACGAAAACGAGCCATCGATTGTAGAATAGACTCTTCATCTGTTCATGGAACCTCATCGTCCTTGATTTTGAAGCTCTAGCCTGCAAATCTGAAGAAGAGTGGAGGATTTTGCGATGGTTTGATGGATTTGTTTATGGATGGAGATGAGTGAGGTCCATAGTAGGATCGATTTGGAAGTTGGAATCTAGGGTTTACATGAAGAAGGGTGAGGGTTTTGGGATAATATGATCGGATTTTATGGACGGAGATGTTGAAGCTCCATGGAAGGATTGTGGAGTTGGATTTTTTTGAAACACTGAAAAATAACAGGATTTTGGTGGAGGATGGAGAGCCCTTGATCAGCAAACTAACCCATAAGTTATAATAAAATAATAATATCAGTTGGCTTGTTTGACAAAATCATTCTAAAATAACTAAAAATAATATCTTGAAAAATTAATTAATTATAATAATTTATAAATAATTATTATTTTTAGAGAGTTTTTCAAATTTTGAGGATTTAATCATCTCTTATTTTAGAGAATTTGTTGGAAATTTAGTCTGCTAAAACGATATCGTATATAACATTTTTATCTTGTAAGTCTTTGCCGGGTAAAAGTCACCACTCTCACTTACCAGGTAAAATTTTAGTCTAGGTATCGTATGCAACATTTTTATCCGGTAAACACTTACTGGGTAAGATTCGTCACTCTTACTTACCAGGTAAGATTCTCGGTCCTGAACCTATCTAAAAACATTACAATATGTTAATTTTCACAACTAAAAGTAAATTACAATTTTTTTAAAGATGTAAGTTCAAATATCTCAAACATAATCGAACCAATTACAAACAATATATTAAATTACAATATAAAAATAAACATAAATTCAAATATCATACGACTAACATCATGATTTCACGATTAGACAAATAAACTAGGTTTTTTCGTGAGCCTTATTTTGGGTTGTTGAGGTAATGGATAAAAGTCTTTTATATTTTAAAGTTACTGTTTTTTTAATATTATATATATATATATATATATATATAAACATATCGGCCCGGGCCGGTAATCACCGTCCCCGTTAAAATCCCCAAATACGTCCCCAATCTCCGCACCATCCCTGATAAGATGTACCCAAACCCGACCCGAAAGTCTTGGTTTTCAGTTTTCACCATCGGTTTCGTTTTTTTTTTTTGCCATCCCTAATCAAAATAATTGTGCACGATAAAAAAGACACGCATTTTAAAAAATATATAATTCATAACACTTTTACTCAACAAAAGAACAGTTTTACCCTTAACTATTAAGAGATAAATTTTCTTCATCTCATATACAAGGGTATAATAGAAAAATCGACATTTTCTTTTAAAAAAAGTGAACAATTTATTTGAAACAAACTAAAATAGTAATGTAGACATTTATTTTAAGACGAAAGAAATATAAAATTTGGTATAAATAGCAGTTTCTTTTTTTAATAACATAATATTTTTTTTTATATTTCCTCAATAAATTGAACTTAAATTAAATTATAATTAAAAAATTGAATTAAAAAATTACACAAATTTATATCTTATTCAAAAATAAAAACATTATCGTTTTTTTAAAATCACATAAAACCATATTATAACATCAATTGAGATAAAAACTAAAATAAACTATTAAAATCAAAATGTATATCGCTGCATTGTACAAATATTCTTCTAATTATTCAAAATGAAAAAAAAAAAAACACGTATGATTCATTTACAATGTGGATAAGAAAAGGATAGAAACGTGAATCATTTTGTAGCTCATTAATTATTTGCTTTATGACATTTAATACAATAATTTTTATGCTTTATGGGTTTGTGTTTCTTTAATACAATAATTAGAAAAAGACAAAAAAAATTAATTGTTTTTTTTTTGTTAAACTAGTTTATTATCTACAAGATGGTAGTAACGGTTATATTTTAGTCTATGTGTTTATCTTATCAGGTAAGTGAAGAAGAAAACTCTTACCAAAATGATGTTTATAGATAAGCGACATTTACCAATAATCCATTTTAATGATTGAGAATGTTACCCGTAAACGTAATGCCTCTTGTTGATAAACGCTTAGTAAAAAGCCTCTTAATATGTGTCACTGTCGTTTGCATTTCATTCGCTTTCATAGACGTTATCTCAAACCCGTTAAATGTCTCTGCATGCCCCCACACATAAGGGTATTTTGGTCATTTTCCTATTCTAACCCGTCTTTTCTTCCTCAACTCACCTGAGCGACTAGCATATTTAGAAGTTTTAAACAACTTATATGAGTTGTAGAAGATTAAGGTTCATTTTTGTGTTTATAATATTAAATAAAATATTTTTTAATTGGAGTAAATAACTTTTTATGTTATAAGCACATTTATTAATAATATTTTATCAAAGAAATACCCGGTAAACCTAAAAACAAATGTCGACATTTTTATTTTAGTTTATACTAAAATAAGTGTCCACAAAAATAAGTACCTACTTTCTAAGGTGACGTTTGTTTTTTAAAAGAAGTTGAAGTCTGAAGTTTAATTTCACTTCTGATTTATAAAAGGTGGTCTTAAAGTCTGAAATCTGGATCAGTAAGATTGTTTGTTTTTACGTCTGAAGTATGAAATTTGAATCAATCAAATTAGTGCAAAAATATAAAAGATAAAATAGTTCTTTTTTATAATAGTATAAAAGATGAATAGTTTTCGCTAACAAATCTCTTCGAACCGCCAAAATATGAACCATGTGATAGATGGCGGATTAAGATTAAGAGGCATTAAGGGATATATTTATTACTTAAAATTTCAAAGGATATTTAGAGCTTTTAAGCTCTTATTTTAAAAATAAAACAAACGCTTTTAATACCCAGACGTCTGAATGTATCAGATTTCTGAGGTATTAATAGGTAATTTTGAAAAGAGTGTTTAGGGTAAAATTGTATATGAATTAAAAATGCAATAATTACACATTTCTAAAACTATATTTTTCTTTCATTATGTACATTTTTTGTAAGTTTTGAGAGATCGAGATAGTAGTTACTATGTTAAAAAAGCAGATTAGTCACAATCGGTCCTCATTTTCTCTCTTGGAGACCAGTCTGAACCATGACCATGACCATTTACGAAGGAACCACTGAAGGTTGGGACCAGGATCGGGACCGACCGGTTAACCGGTTTGCCCATGTATGATTTTCAGTACAAAAACCAACCAAATGGGTACAAAAAGAAAGCAGTGAATGAACCAAATAGCATTTAAAATCTCAAATTGAAAATTGTATAGAAATGAAGGAACAAAACCACAAGGGTTGTGGTGTAGTGGAATATCCCATCTGCCTTGGGTTCAATTCCAGGTTGTGGAGAGTTTATCAGAGCTGATGTCTTGCCGTCGCAATTTGCTACGATTAGTACGGGCATAGCTCAGTAAGAACAAGTGGAAATGATGAACATGAATGTTTGTATATACATTCAAAATGGTCCTAATCCATGGCATTGAAACTAGGGGCATCCCACCCTAACTGATCCACAACCTTCCTTATTCTTTCTTCTTGACCCTTTGAATCCCCTAAGGCAGTAGTGAAGGGGTATATATAGGTTACTTTCGCGGCCATGCACCGATACGAGACCACGTCTCCTTTCACCAAGAACTCTAGAATGTCACGCCCAAAACCTCCATCAACCATTGCTTGCAAATATCGGCCTGCCAGGTCAAGATTTTGCAGAAGATTAGTAACCAAACAAACTCAGTATATCCCACTCGAAAGTAGAGTCTAGTAAGGGTGTGGTGTCTTGGTCAAGATTTTGCAGAAAGAACAATAACCAAACAAAAGTCAGTATATCCCACTCAAAAGGAGGATCTGGGAGGGGTGTGATGTACGAGTCAAGATTTTGCAGAAAGATCAATAACCAAACAAACCCGGTATATCCAACTCAAAAGTACGGTATGGAAGGGGTGAGATATACGAGTCAAGATTTTGCAGAAAGATCAATAACCAAACAAACTCAGTACATCAAAATTAGAGTCTGGTAGGGGTGTGGTGTACTAGTCAAGATTTTGCAGAAAAATTAATAACCAAACAAACTCGGTACATCCCACTCAAAAGTAGTGGGTCAAGGAAGAGCGTGATGTATGAGTCAAGATTATGCAGAAAAATCAATAACTAAACAAAATTCGGTATATCCCACTCAAAGGTAGGGTCTGGAAGGGGTGTGATGTACAACAATACGAGTCAAAATTTTGCAAAAAAGATCAATAAGGCAATAACCAAACAAACTCAGCATATTCCACTCAAAAGTAGAGTCTGGTAGGGGTGTGATGTACAAGTCAAGATTTTGCAGAAAGATAAAATAACCAAACAAACTCGGTAGATCCCACTCAAAAGTAGAGTCTGGTAGGGATGTGGTGTACCTGCCAAAAGTTGACCAACAAACTCATCATTTTGGTTTTGACGTGGCAAAGTTGACTGAAATTTTATAACAAAAACATTCTTTTTCTTCTAAAGAGCTTCATTCTAGGTGTATATATACGCAACTGTTTGTATGCATAAGAATATTTCTTTGCAAATTGGGGTCGAAGAGCATACGATTGCAAATTTGCAATTGAAGAATGCTTCATGTCACCAAACAAACTTTTACGATTGTCGGCTATGAGTTGTCACTTTTAAAGCAAATTCTTGAGAATTCTAACAGGATTTGTGATGAATATCTTGGACATACTAACTCCATAAATCATCTAAAATTGGATATATGATCACCCCATGGGGGAACCTAGTAACTCATTCTCCCGACATAGTGTAAAAAAGTTACGACTTTTAAAGGTGTCGTCGTATTATAAGACATGTGCCACCGTTTTGGTTATAAAACAAAAGAAAGGTGCAGAGCATTGGTAAAAATGCTTTTAGAGGAAGGGAAGGTCTAGGTTCAAGTCTTGGTGAGTAAACTTTGCAACGTTTTTCTAGTTAGAATAAAGGGTTGTTTGGTTGGTTTTTCATTAAGTCCAGTATCAATAAAGTTGTCTTAATTTGTTTGTATAGATTGAGAAGGTTTTTGTTTAGGAAGGTTTTTTGATAGATGGAAGAAACATATTTTTTAACCGGGAGTTTGGAAAAAAAAAACTTGGCTTTCTACATAAGGCTCTACTTAGACACTTACTGAATAAGTCACTTTCTATATCATTAAGCCACTACCAATCAGTCATACATAACCGACCAAATAAGTTGTGAGTCTCATTAAGATTATGTATCACCCTTAAAGATTATGAATGTGAAAGGACTAAAAGCACATAATGTGTATGAATAAATGCATGTTCATCTGCAATATATTGCATTATATTTGAAAAGTAAGATCTACTTACCATCTGGGGTGTTTTCCACGATCTCAATCTTGGCATTTTTCTGCGTTTCTAGAATTGCTTCCTGCAATTGCTGCAATCATCATTGACAAAACGAATTTTCACATCAAGCACTCCATAGTTTACTAAATTGAAAATGAAACTCCACAAAAAAAGAATTGAAAAAATATCAAACACCTGGAGGGCATTATCTATGGACTTCTCCGGAATCCTCCATGGGAACGCAAAAGATGATGATTTCGGATTACTCGAAACACACCCAGGATTGTTCGATGGGCACGGTCTAATTTTCCTGCAATAACAAAATCACGAAAACAAAAATTCAAAGAAATTCAAGCCCTATATATTCAACAAACAGGGGCATAAAAGCATATCTGTCATTGATAGAAATTTCAATCAGAAATGTGTGAAGTAACAATACCCGTTCTCCAATCCGGTGATTAGATTCTTGGACTGAGAGAAGGGGGTGGTGGCGGAGGGTAAATTGGGCGGCGGCGAGTTGTTGAGAGAAGGGATTGCGAAAGAGGATGGAAGTGGAGAAGTAAGAGTGGCGATGGCGATGGCGAGAGAGAGGAGATGATTTGAGAAAAGAGAGGGTTTTTTGGGAATAGAGTTTGGTAAAATGGAAGCTGATAACGATGAAGATTGAATTGGGAATGGTTTGATGGTGGTGGTGTTCTTGGAGAAAGCGAGTGGCAATGGAGGAAGAAGGTGAGTAGTTAACCCGAAGCTCATGGTTACCACTGATTTGGGCTCATTTGTGGGTCGCAGGTTATATTCACATATTACACCTTTGAAGGAAAAACACATAAATAATGTTTTATCTTTTATGTTTTTATTTTAGTTTACCGTAGAAGTAAGCGTGCAATGGAGCAAGATACATCTTGATTTTAATATTTTATTTTATCTTTTATTTCAGTCGATGTTATAATATGGTTTTATGTGATTTTGAAAAAACGATGATTTTTTTATTTTTAATAAAATATAAATTTGAAGATAACATAAAAATTTAACAAAAATATATCGATATTMGTATCAAATTAACTATTTAAAATTCCTTATTTTTTATAATTTTTAATTTAATTTATTTATTATAATTTAATTTAAATTCAGTAACGAAGTAATTTATACTTGGTTTAATAATATAATTTTTTAATAAAAATAATAATTAATTATTTTGTTAGAACTCGATAATTATTCTAATTATATTTTAGATTATTTATATTTTAAAATGAGATGTTTATCCTCTATTTGATCATGTTTATCCGCAGTTAGTTACACGAATTCAAACATCGAGCTTTGATAAGTTGTATTTATGCATAATTACTTGTAATCTTGAATTTTAAGCAATATGCATCAATAAACGGTACTTCATGCATAAAAAAATGGTTTTTAAGAGTTTTTGTCAAACGCTTTATAATATAGTGTGTGTGTGTGTGTGTATATATATATATACATATATAGGGGAGCGTTCAAATAAAAACCACTCAATTTGTAAAAACCGTGAAAACTTTATTCAACCAATCATAATTTTTCATTTTGTTCATTTTTTTGTAATTATGAGAGGTTGATAAACCATTTTTATTGTGGACGGTGTTAATCATGGATATTATCATCTTCATTATTTTAATTTTAGAGAAATACATGAAACAGTTTCATTAAAATTTCATTAAATATTATATGAAACAATTTCATAACCATATACGAAACAAATTCATCAAAAAAGTATTATATGAAACAATTTCACAAGATTAAACAATTTCATATATATATATATATATATATATATATATATATATATATATATAGGAACGATCAAATAAAAATCGTCCTCATTTGTAAAAACCGTACAAACCACCTTCATACGTCGATTTCATTGTTTAATCTTATGAAATTTTTTCATGAAATTGTTTAATCTTGTGAAATTGTTTCATATAATACTTTTTTTTGATTAATTTGTTTCATATATGGTTATGAAATTATTTCATATAATATTTAATAAAATTTTAATGAAATTGTTTCATGTATTTATCTAAAATTAAAATAATGAAGATGATAATATCTATGATTAACACCCTCCACAATAAAAATGGTTAATCAACCTCTCATAATTACAAAAAAATGAACAAAATAAAAAATTATGATTGGTTGAATGAGGTTTTCACGGTTTTTACAAATTAAGTGGTT